AACCAAAAGGGTGAATGGACCAAAGTTTATAATAATAGTAATAATAATAAGAAAACCATTTTCTTTATGAACATACTAACCCCCGGTTTTGAAAACACATATAATACTACATAATAGGTTCACTGAAAACTCTAGCATGCCATGAAAACATTTGTAAAACACGTACGTATAGAACAATGCTCAATAAATGTGATATCGCCGCCTGAGGCAAATCCATAAATCTCATCAATGACGTATTCACCAAGGGTTATCATAGTGGCCCGAAGGCATAACCATCACCAAAGGTGAAGTTGTACAACACTGGGTTACGCCTGTGAAGAAATCATGGTCCATCACCCAAAGGTGAAATTGTACGACTCTAGGTTACGCTAGAGAAGAGATATAAGATATATATATATATATATATATATATGCAATGGGTCCATCACCTGAAGGTGAAGCTGTACAACTCTGGGTTACGCCAAAGAAGAAATATAAAGTTCATCACCCAAAGGTGAAGTTGTACGACTCTAGGTTACACTAGAGAAGAAACATATACATATAACATCTCACACCGACACTGGTTTCGCCAGTGAAGCTGGGGGTATGGCATAAATATCCTCCACTATGTCCTTTGGCCATAAACTCTACATACTCGTGTTGTGTGGATGTGCTGTATGATAACCCACTAGATAAGCACCAAAAACATCTCTCTAAAATCTCATATCAAATCCGTAGCTCAAAAGCTTAAAGTCTCATCTCATCAATCCATGATTATTCATATTCATGAGTCCGTAAAATAAATCATATTCGTAATCCATAGAATTTCATTTATGAAAATCCGATAATTCATAACCTTTCATAAAACGCAATTTCGATAAATCGTTAATAATACATAAAACGTCAAATCATGAAATTATGCTTTTCATGAATGCAAACCTAATATTTTATAAAAACATGCAAGTTAAGGAGGGGTCCACTCACAATATTCCATTGCCGAGGAATCACTCAAACTAGAAAGGATGGTGTCGACTCCCACCAACGCACCTAAACATAATTTGAGACCATTTAGTAAAACTCCACTAAAATAGTCGAATTTGGGAAAATGGACAACAGATTCGGATTCGGCACGTCGAAAAACCTAAGGAGAGACCTCGAGTTCCCCTAGGCGCCAAGTTGAGTGGCCAAAAAGTTGGCCAGAAAATTCGTCGGCGCTGCAGTGGTCGCCACTGTGGACGACAGCGGGAGGCACATGTGCTCCACACGGCAGCCATGGCATTGCCCACGCGAGGACCATAAGACTGCGCTTGGATTTGGGTCAAGTCGGATCTGGGTTGGATCTGGGTTCTGGGTTGTTGGGTTGGGCCTGCTGGGTTAATGGGCCAAGGGTTTAGGACGGGTTTAAGGTTGCAGATCGGGTCGACTCGGCTTCAAGCCGTGGGTCGGCCGGACTCCACGAAGAAAAGAGCCGGAGCTTCCCAAACTCTGATCATCCCTAAAACCTAACTAAAACTAGTCATTCAATATACTAATTTGAAGCTCAAGAAACAAGGAAGAGTATTATACCTATCCCGTGGCCAGTCGTAGCCAGAGTTGGCCAGAAAACGGCCAGCAAGTCTCGGGTTCCTTCGCCGGAATCTGGGGAAGTCTTCTTTGTGTTATAACTACATCCAAACACACCCAAAAAACTTTAAAATATCCTAAACGTAACCCTAGACACGATCTACCAAACTTTAGGAAAGTTCAAGCCTCACCATGGTCAAAGATGACGAAAACTCGTCAGGAAACTCTGTGTACAATGCAATAAGAGAGAGGAGGAGAAGTCTCAATCGTTATGGGGTCATGGTGTGGTGGTCCAAGTGGTGGTGGGGTTGCCGAAGTGTAAGCCACGATGGTAGTGAAAGTGGTGTCGTCGCTGTTGCTTGTCTATATGTGTTCAAAGAGATGAAGGGAGTGACAGAGAGAGGTGAGAGAAAGAGAGCTAAGGGGGAGAGAGAGAGAGAGAGAGAGAGAGAGAGAAAGATGACTGAGAGGGAAGAGATGAGGCCTGAGGGATGAGAGCTCAGAAAGAAGAAGAGAATGACAGGGAGATGGGGGAAAGATTTCAAGAAAGTCCCAGATATTAGCAGAGGGGATGACACAGGGAGGAAGGAGAAGTGGGTTGTGGGCCCCACTTGATAGAAGATTATTAAAATAATAAAAGTATCTAACCCCTAATATCTAGAATAGTGAATTGACTATTTTGCTCATTGACTTCATAGTTCCATAAAACGTTCATCGTAACTTCAAATTCGATTCCACTTGAGCCCACATGTTTGTAGTGACAAGTGCTACCAGGATATACTAAGCAAACAGATCTTACATGACATGACAAGGTGGTCAACAAAAGTCAACGTTTGGCCTTGAAGGGCATTTTTGTAATTTCATGCTTTAAAATAAAAACCATAAAATCTAGAACGGGTCGTTATAGAATTTTATATATATATTTGTTCTTGATATTATAATATTAGTAATTAATGCTAATTTAGGACACTGGTAATTGAGTGACCTTCTTTCTCACTCTCAAAAATTAGGAGCTCTTATTAGCTGTTTTGCTAACCTACGAGCATGACAGTGAGTGTGATTGGAGATGGATTTTTCCAAACCCTCCCTAAATTCTTTTCTTTTGTTTTTTTTTAGTACAAACCCTCCCTAAATTCTAGTTCTGAGTTAATTCACGGAGGCCATTGAAAATGCTCTAAGCGCTATATGAGACTCCGTGAAAGAATCTGTCATGCACATGGTACAATATGGCCATAACTCCTACCAATCACAAGTGAGCATTATACTTTTTTTTTCTTTTTTTTCTTTTTCTCTCTCTCCTCTTAGTTTCTAACTTTTTACCAATCACAGCAAAGAGAAGCCACTGAAATTGTGCATTGAATGCACAAAAAGGAATGATTTTTCACATTTCCCTTTTCTTTACATTCCACTATTTTTTTTTTTTTTGAAGTATTATTAGCACTTCAAAAATTATATTCTACATTTCTCACAAGTGTATTTTTATTTTCAAATATAAAAAATTTGGAGTGTAGAATGAGATTTTTGGAGTGCCTTTAACAATTTTTTTTTTCTCATCTTTGACTAACATAAATAAGAGCAGATCAAGAAAAAAAAAACAAGAGATGAAAAATGAGTGTTACTATCTTGTCGCAAACGAAAGCTTTTGAGTTCCCTCTAAATAACTCAAATTAGTTTCCGTGAATAACCAAACATGTAAAGCAAAGTGTGTTTAGTAAGAGAAATTTTTTTGTGTAAGGGTAACACCACATAACATATCGATTATCCCATTGTAAAGATTGCACGGCCTAATTATTGTCAAGTGCAATAGTTTGTGGCATCTGATTTTTAAGTTATTGAGAGCCTTTGGAAATAAAATTTAACCCTACAACAATACTGCATAGTGCATACTGGTTGTTATATGATTTGGCACGATGTCATTTGATTGGACATATCACATATCAAGCTAGAATTTTTTGTTGGCAGTAAAGTTCGTATCAGCTATCAAGTAAATATATCAATACAGCACAGCAGAAACAGTTTTTTTTTCAAAGCACAGCAATGTCAAACCAACCCTATATCTCTATTCACTCCATCAAGTTTTCCAAGTTCTCATTATTATTGTTTTTACCTTTACTTTGGATCATTTGACTGAAAACTCATTTAGAATGGTAAGTTGGTAGCACTGAATGACATAAGTTACTCTTGGACGCTCTCGGACATTTATTTCTGCCACGTCCACGTCCATGTTTCTTTTACGAGTCAAGTTCAATCCATTGGTTCCACAATTGCGAGAAATGCTTATATCCGTCCGCCGTATCAAGCACTGCACTCTGTCATATAAAGGCGGCCGGACACAAGTAAATATCTTTCCTCTAGAGGGGGCCTTCTAGTTTTTCATGACCAGAAAATACCAAGCCTCTTTCTAGCATAGTGATTATTGGCCTTCAAAACTGTGTTTGATGTAGGAGTTGTGTAATACAAATAAAGACCCATTTAGCTATGCTGTTTACTTCTTTTCTAACAGAAAAAGTCATTTGGTAACATGTTTCAATGAAAACGGGTGCCTGCTTTATTATTTGGGATGTGCTATCCACACACCCTTTTTACTTCTCACACACCCCTTGTTAATTTCTGTCATTTGATCGTCTTCAATTCATTCAATCCGACGACCGAAAATTTTAAGGATGTGTGAGAAGTAAAAAGAGGTGTATGGATATCACACCCCTATTATTTTTACCAGATTACTGGTCTTTACAGCTTCAAAATGGCGGTCTAAAAAGCAACGAGTAGTTGGTTTTACCTGGCTGCGGATGTCTCATTTTAATCTGAAACACCAAGAACCAAGAATATGGTCCTTGAGCCAGCAACCCAACAATCAGAATTTTACAGTTTCCTAAGCACTATTTAACTAGCACGAACTGTGGTTAAAAACAAAAAAAAAGAAACAAAATAGCTTTTTAGGAAGCACAAGGGCATGGCAGTATTAAACGAAGGGACTTGATAAAACAGAATAGAATGGTGGCCACATATAGATATTAATTTGTTGGGTATTCTAATAGACAAGAGACATTTACTTACAATGAGATTGTCACAGTGTCTGTATTTTAAATTAGTTACCCTACTGGTATGCATTTTAACTTTTTCACATAACAATGTACAATTAGTTTGAATACAACTTCAATGACATTCCCGTGATCAGAAAGTTGCTCTCCACATTTTCTTATAAGTAAGAGATAACAAAGGTCCCAAACAAAAAGCAAACTACAAAAAGTGAAGAATATGATAAGGTGGGTTCTAATCTTGATTCTTCTACTACTCACTCAACTTCTTCCTAGCTAGTTCCTTCCAAGCAATACAGAATCTGGTTCCTCCACTCACTCATGCTAATAGTGCATTTACACAAATATTTAAATAATTAATTAATTCACATCCAAACCATACAACTAAAACATCTTGCCAGTTTTTGGTTTTTTCTTCTCTCTCTCTCTCTCTCTCTCTCTCTCTCTCTCTCTCTCTCTCTCTCTTCAGTTACCTGTTAAATTATTTCTTGGCCTCTAGTTTGGTAGGACAAGGTGGAGAGGCAGGTGATGCTGATGACACAGTAGGCCAAAACTGAGCGTTCTTCACCTTTGAGACACTGGCAAGGACACTCGATGGGGTTACATCTCCAGTGACTGTCACCTTCTTTGCTGTAAAGTCTATGTTGAATGATGTCACCCCTGCCCACATAAATGAAACACAAATATTGAGTTAAGTTTATACATTCATTGATAAAATTAAAATTACCATAAGTAGATGTTAGCTATATTGAATGAGATGTTATTGTAATTGAGAAAGAGAAATGATTTCCGCAAACTTTTTTTTCTCTCTGCACACTTCAATTCATTATTGTTTCTTAATTCTTGTTTGATTTATTTCAATACAAAGATCAGAAATAGACATGGGTGTGCCGTGTGCATGAGAAGAAGGGAATGGGTGCGGAATTCACTTTCCTGGAATGATGCAATCTAGTAAAAATGTTTCAGCTTTAAAGAGCTAAACAAATTACCTTCCATTCTGGATAGATGTTTTCTCAGTTTTCCTACACACCCTTTGCAGTGAAGGGACACCATCAATACAACAACCTGCAAAAGAAGATCATTATATAAGTAATCATTTAAACAATTACTCAAGGCTTTGATTATTCTCCGACCTGGGATTCATACTCTCAACAATTGAAACCAAATTTGAACCCTTAACATTCTTTAATGTTACCTCTATGCATATAAACTAACAATCTGAGCAAGAAAAACAGAAAATTTTCGACAAACCTGGTTGGAAGGCGATGGCAGTGGTGGTGGCGTTGGTGGTTTTGAGTATTTTGTCAGAGATGAGGAAGAAGAGCCAATTGAAGAAGTAGTAGATTTATTTTCTGTGATTATTTTCACTGCATTCTTTTTCTGCCCAACCGGAACCAATGCCAAAACCGGATCGTAATCCGATAACCCATCAAAGATCACAGTATCACTCAAAAGGTATCTGGAGGAGCCAGGAGGAGTAATAAGATCGATAGGGTTGGCAGAGCTCTTCCTAACAACACTCTCACTTAGAACAGAAGAAAACTTCTTAACATTTTCATCCAACTTTCCATGAAAAATATTACTAGTACTCTTCCTCTTCTGATCATTTTCTTTTGAGGAGCTCTTGGTACTTGGTCTAAGTGATGAGGAGGTTGCTTTTTTCTTGCTCTTTGGGAGTTGGTGGTAGGCCTTGGGGTTGATGGGGGATTGGGAAGAGCATGGAGCAATGGGAAGGGTTCTGGAGCTTGTGCTTCTTCTTGCATCTTGGATGATGGGGTTGTGGCGGTCGAGGGCTCGGCCGCCGAGTTGTACGACGGAGGAGGATGCTTGATGATCCATGTTCATGCATATGGCTGTTGAAGCTTGGGATGCACAGAATATGTCTATGCCTTTCATCTTCATATTTGATATGATAACACAATGTGGGAACCAGTGCTTTAGAGGATCTGCATAAAGGGGGAAGTGAGAGAGAGAGAGAGAGAGAGAGGTAGGTTTAGAAAAGAAGGTAGGTAGTTTAATTTCTGCTTTTGAGCTTGAAGCTTCCTCTTGGAGATAAAGGGAGGAGATAAAACATAATATGGTTTTAGATTCCAAGCAAGTTAAAAAAAAAATGATTTTTTTGCTAGTTTGAAAAATGATTTAATTGTGTAAAACACAATTAGTGATACAAATGATACAAATAAATAGATCAAAGAAGATAGGGTGTTTTTATTTGGGTCTCAATAAAATTTTACCAATAATTTCAACCAGATGAAAGAAAAAAAAGTGTCTGCACCAAAATATAAATTAACTTATATCCTCTAATAACGAGTCGATAATCAAATATGGCGGTCCTTCAAATAAAACGATCTCTTGCTCTTCTCGACTCCCTTTCGAGTTAGTCTCTATGTAGTTTTTTTTTTTTTTTTAACAAATTATATTATCTGTACTAAGAGAGTAGAGGAGTGGGCTAAGTTTCACAATCGGCTAATAATAATTTTGTTCAAATTCACCTTTAGCAAAAATCAAACTTAAGACCTCGCTTAAAAATGAATAGGGATATACTACTACACCATATCATTAAGTGGTAGTCTTTGTGCAGTTAGATAAATTAATGTAGGAGTGTCGGTGTGCCATACATAGGTACTTGTATAACTTGTATTTGCAATATTATTATATTTTTGGTACTCCTTCATTTGGTATCATTTTTTTTTCTTTTTTCAAGTAATTAAGGGCTGGATCATGAGAGCATCAGATATTGCAGATGGTGCACTAGGACCAAGATAAATAGATATTTAATTAGGGCATTTGTTAGTGTAATTACAGAGCTAAATATCATAACATTAACTTGATAAGTGTGGACGACCCCGTGACAATTTCCTTTGGATGCTTTAACCTTAAGATTTATAAAATATTGGAAAGTGAATTTAATATGAAATTGATTCCTGCTAGAACTAATTTATTGTATAGTCTGATAAACTGTTGGCCTGCTGGGGCATGCATGCCCTACAAATTTATTTTCACTACTTATTCACACGCTTGGCAGCAACTTGTCCCCCATATGTTTTGTTTTTGAAATGAAAACAAACAATTGATCAGAAGAGACAGACCAACGGCTTCCTCAGTTTCAGTGTGACGGTCACTCGGATGTTACAAATTCACTTATGTTGTAACATGCGTATTAATTTATGAATAGGATAATTAGCTGAAATAATTAGTTTTTGACGTTTAATTGTATAAATGGTTAGATTTTAGTAATGATGATATGTTAATCATATATCAATAACATAATAATCACATAAAGATAATATAGCGATCATATTATAAAAATTGATCACTTCTGCAACCAGATGTCAAAAATTGGTCTATCCAACTAATTGCCCTTACAAATATTCTCCTTTAACTTTGTGATACATCAATCATGTATCTCTCTCCATATTATAACATGCGGCAGGACAGTCACTCAGAGCAACTTGGTATCCTCTGGTATATGTTGTGGGTTCAAATCATATTGAAATTGCAAGGAGCTTATAAGTAATTCAGTTGACTAAAAGCATTTCTCTTTGTACCTGAGGTCAAGAAATTTTCTTTTTAAGTGAAAACTGAAATTATATTGAAATTAAAACTAAAAAGAAAACTGAAAAGAGAAAAATAAAGGTTTGAAGAATTAAAGAAGGCCCTACAAAAACTTTCCTAAGAAGCTAATCACACCACACCAGCAACGGAACAAAAATATGAAAGGAAAGCTTTCCAGATGATATTTATCATGCAATTATTTAGATTCCTTTAGAATAAATGCCGCCAGCATATAAGTTTGCAAATAAATAAAAGAAACATTAACAAAAAATTCAAAAGAAATTTAATTTTAATGAAAAATGACAAATAAAAATGTAGTGAATAGTACTAGGGAAAGGTAAAAATAAGGTTTTTCATTAAAAATGAACAGTACCAGAAGTGTTTTATTAAAACTCTCATTTTGAAAATTTTCTTTCTTTCCTGTGGATGGATGAGACTCAAAATCACTCATTCTCAGTGATATTTCTACTTCTCAAAGCCTTATGGGATCAGATGCTTATATAAATGGCTATCATGATTCATTTAACTCCTTTCATTTTCTTCTTTTTATCCCCTGCCAACCTAATTCAGTCCCCTTATCCATAAGCTATAGTTTAGGAGACAACTTACATAGAATGAGTTCACCGTTATCATAGCATCTCAGTCTAATATTGCATTGATATGATTAATTTTATCTCAACATAACAATGTATTACTTGATCAAAATGTCATGGCAACGATGAGCTCGTTTTATGTAAATCATTCTTGTAGTTATAGACTCTGTCAAAAGACAAAAGACATGGAGGACCTTTTTAAGAAGAAAAATAAGGATGTTATGAGAAACGGCACATTGTATTGCATGGAGGTGGAAAATGGTGGGGTTGTTTAGAAGGTTGTCTTTCTTCTTTTTAGCTTTTAAGTTGGGTCAAAACTTTATTAGAAAATTATATATAGATGTGTGCTGTAAGTGAGAGGAGAGCTTTTTCATTACTTTTAGACGAGATGGTCCCACTTCCCAGGGAGGGACTAAGAACCCAAACCATGCATGGCATTATGGCATATGACATTAATCCCAAATTCCAAACTTTTACCAACAAATTCAAAAGGAAAAGGCAAAAAATAAACAAAACTTTCTTGGATTTTAGGTCGGCAGAGCCAAGCTGTTGGGATAAAAAGGGTTTGCGTATATAAAAATGATTTGAAGTTGATGGATTTTACTCATTCTTGCTTAACAAGTAAAATAATTATCACCCCTTTTCGTTCATACCCAATTCCAAAAGCGGAGAAAATTGTGTCAATGGATGAATATATCTCAATGGCTATACATCTTATGTGATGAGAAATACAAGCACAATAGTTGTACAGATTCAGTGACACAACAGAATCTTCTGTTAAATACAGTGCAACCTGAAGCCGAAGCCGTTGTCCGACATTAGTGACGGGTGTGGACTTGATTGTATTGTAATTTATCGAAACTCTAAATTTAACACCTAATTGCCAAACTTTTATAATTATGGTATTCGTTCTGAACACCCAAAACATTGACAAATACACTAAAAGGCAAACAAAAGAGAGCTATTATTGACACTTCCAAAATCTCAAGCTATTATGTGATTTCCTATTTTACCCCTATATTACTTTTAAAGTCTACAATCTTGAAAACCTCATGAAGTATGATGACATAAATATGGGTAAATAGTTATGGGGAGTTGTAAAGACCTTTTGTGCTCTAGAAGCAAGTAATCTTTTACTCTTGAGTCTGAGCATATATGCAAAAGACTCTAGCTCCATATAGAATCGGTGGCTACTTTATCAAGTCAACCAATTCTTCGTGCTCAGACTTTTTTCCTCTTGGTCTGAGCAAAATTCTTCATTTTTTTTTTTTTGGGTAATTCATGGATGAACAACCATATATGGACCCGATACTACTGGAAAGTTTTGACAAAATTTACAATGGTGAAATGGAAGAAATGTTAGACATGAGTCATCCTTCTAACTCTCTTGAATCAAATTTTCATGGTATGTCTTCTCATGACTTTTTGTTCTTTTTATTTACTCATTTACTTATTTTTAGTATTATAAGTGTTTCATTATGAGTTTGAACATATTTGTATTTCAATCTCAATTTCATGGATTAGAATTAGGGTTTTCCGGTAGACAAATTTATTTGTTGGTGCAATGCAATTTCATGAATAAGTTTTTTTGTTGCTGCCCTTTGAATGCTTGTTTTTTTTACCCTGATTTGCTTTTCATGTAATGAGTTCCACCCCCTTTTTAATTGACTTCTCATTCGACCAACTTCTTTTGTTTTATTAACTAGTATGATAGCTTCCATTGTTAGTAAGTTACAATATATTATGTTGAAATGAATGGTTCACATGCTATAAAACTAAGTTTATTTTTATCTAGGGAGTCAAATAGAGATCAGTGAACATGACACAATGCTCTTTGACTGAAAAGAACTTTCAAAGTCGCGAAGACACCCTTGGTATTGTTCGTGAAATTGCATGAAAGCAAGGGTATGCAACTGTTATTCGGACATCGAAGGCTGATAAATATGTTATCATTGGTTATGATAGAGGTGGTAATTATCGAATTACCAATCTTTCGTTCGAGGACAAGAAAAGGAAAACAGCATCTCGATTGATAAATTGTCCTTTGAAATTTGGGGAAAGAAGAAACAAGAAGGATTTTGGAAGGTGGACATAAAAAATTTGTCACATAACCATGATCCTTCAGCTGACATGTATGGGCATCCCTATTGTCGTCAGTTTTTAGAAGACGAAATCTTGCGCATTAAACAAATGACCATGGCTAGTATACCACCTCACCAGATTCTTTATTCATTTCGTCAAAGTAATCCTAATCTTTAAGAAATTTCTCAAAGTGTCGATAATAAAAGGTATAAGATTATGAAGCAGAGTGTAGGAGGACGTATGGTTGTTCAAGCCTTGTTGGACGAACTTGGTCAAGGTGGTTTCACTTATACATTGAGCATGATCAGAATGGTCATTTGACTCATTTGTTCTTTGCCCATCCCATTTCAATTGCACTGACTAAGAGCTACTCAAATGTTTTTGTGATGGATTGCACCTATAAGACTAATAAGTAGAAGATGCCATTGTTGGATATCATTGGGGTCTCAAGTTGCAACACATCATTTTATTCTTGTTTTGCCTTTTTGCAAAAGGACGAGGAAGAGGATTGTGTATGGGCACTGACAATGTTTAGTAAACTCGTGGGAATTGATAATCATCCAGTGCCTATTATATCAGATAGGGAATTGGCGTTGATGAAAGTGATAGAAATTGTCTTCCCTAGAACTACAAATATTTTATGTGTCTGGCATATTGAGAAAAATATCCTTACAAATTGTAAGTCTCATTTTGAAAACAAAGATGATTGGGTTAAGAAATCAATTTCAAGAAATCAAAGTTTGACTCTCAAGTGAGAAGATTCGTGTGTCACATAGACTTTGAATTCCCTTCTTTAAAGAACATGTTACTCATGTATCTATGTTTGCACTGGATGAGTTACATAAGCAATATGAATTAGCAAAATCCACTGATGTTTTATCTAGATATAAAGGCCATTTTAAAAAAAAAAAAACAATGGGCCTTCCTTGTGCACACATGATCAGAGAAGTGAGA